GATAAGCTAATCCTAATCTGATAAGCTACTAACAAGATAAGATAAAGAGATAAGAGCAATAAGATAAGAACAAGCAAAATGAGCTAATCTAATCTAGATAAGGCTGTTGTTGCCGAACTGGGTAGGATGAGCATCACTGAATCATTGCTGCTGCTGGCGGTGGGTCAGGTGCTTGTTGCTGCCGGTGGCGATGGTACGTCTTCCCGAGGAAGGCGTCCACAACACATTCAAAATTGTAATAACTATTGGGTAAATAAATTCATGAGCCACACACAAGGTGCCAGCCGGCTGGTTGGTAAGGTCTCCTGCTGGTTGTAGTGGAGACTTGGGATTGAATCCCGTCTGCACCTGGGTTGGGGGGTTTATGGGTTTGGGGGATGGGCTCCCCCCCCCCCCGGGTTGTGTAGACCCTTGGAGAAGAATCTATCAAAAACAGTAGCAGGAATTTAATAAAAATAAAAAAGAAAAAATATCAAAAAAAAAATCATGAGCCATACTATGAAACTTTGGGAGAGAATAGTTTGAACAAAGATTATGACATGAAACAAGTATATCAGAGGACCAATTTGGGTTTTTACTAGGGAGATCAACAATGGAAGCTTTCTTTCTTTTACAACGATAGATATAAAAGTTCAAATAGAAAAAGAGAGATCTTAATCTAGTGTTCATTGATCTAGAGAAAGCATATGATAGAGTTCCTAGTGAGATAATATGGTGAGTCTTGGAAAAGAAAGGGGTTCCAAATAGGTATATAGAGCTAATTGAGAATATGTACAAGGGTGCAACCAACGTTAGAACACCTCTAGGAGAGACATCAGATTTTACAGTTATGATGGGTATTTACCAAGATTTAGCACTTAGCCCTTATTTATTTGCACCAGCACTGATCATAGATAAACTGACTAAACATTTTGAGGAGTTCCTATGGGTGCATGTTGTTTGCTAATTATATTGCTTTAATTGATGAAAGCAATGAAAGATTAAATGCAAAATTAAAATTTTGGACAAATCCTTGTAAACAAAAGGTCTTACAATAGGTAGGAATAAAACGGAATATATGATATGTAAATTTAATAATAACAAGAAGTAGCTTCAATAGGATATAAAATGAGAGTAAGCAGACTGCAGAAGTTTGTTGCAAGTAAAAGGGGCAAGAAGGGCTAAGGCTAGACCAAAAAGGACACTGGTAGAAGTAATAAGAAATTATTTAAGTGCCAATTATTCAACAATGGATATGGCATTAAACAGAACGGAATCGTGAAACAGGATTCATGTAGCCAACCCATATAGTTGGGATAAGGCTTGGATGGTGACAAGGATGGAGTGAAAAAGGCTTGATACATCTTTTCATTACATGCAGATACACCAAATTCATTTGGGGTGTTTTCTTTTCCCTATTTGGAAAAGTGAATGGAAGCCTATGGGTTTAAATGAGCTACTTGCATTGTAGCCAATAATCCAGGAGAGAAAGAAAGCTAGAATATTTTGGAGTTATATTCCTTTTGATGTAGTTTGATGCATTTAAAAGGAAAGAACAAAAGAATCTTCAATATGTTCAGAAGAATCAAGATAGACGGTGTTCCTTAATTGGAAGTAAATTTCTGGATTGGATTCTTGTGCATCCAGAATTTGCTTATGTACAAAGAGCTATTTTCTAGGCTTCATTTTGGGCAACTCTAGGTCTAGAATAGTTATATGGAAAATGTACAACAATGGATTAGCTTGTTATGACTGTATTGATCATTTTGTATGTTTTCCTCTGGGTTTGGATGTGTTTTTTATCAATTGGGTTTGGATGTTATCTCGTCATATTACCCAATTTTTGTACTTTGTCTATGATTAATAAAATTTTCAATTTATTTTGCTATCAAGAAAAAAAATCAAATGTGATTTACAGCGCATGCAGCATTTCAATGCAAGGAGGAATATGAAGTGTCACTTCAAACTTGATTTGAATAAAACTGCACCTGATTATTGGAAACAGCAGTTAAAAACTCTGCCTTCACTTTGTATGCTGGTAATTTTTCCCTGAATGACTGCATTGCTTTTGAACCATCGCTTGCCTGCCAGTAACCAAAGCCACACGGATAACAAAAATGTATAATTTGATGTTAATAGCACAACGTTACTTCTCATGACCACTATAGAACTTTTTGGTGCACAAAATATTGATTGCTTATAATGCATGATATCAGTCAGGTATAAATGAACCTTCATCTTCTCCTGCCTGTTCTTGAGTTCAACACTAAATTTCTCCTTGGCCTTATCAGCATCCAATGTTGATTCAGATTTTATTATATTTACAGAAGGTGATGATTGTTTCACTCCTTGACTTGATGCACAAGATGAGTCATCAGCATGTACTGCTTCCTTTGAGCTAGCCAAGAGATTCCCCACTCTTCTCTCAGTCTCTGTGGACATTCGGATCTGAAAGAGAGAGAGAGAGAGAGAGAGAGAGAGAGAGAGAGAGAGAGAGAATTTAGATAAAGGAAAAATGAACTTCTTGATTCAAAGGAACAAAAAAAAAACCTTCTGTCATGCAGTTAACAGCACCTCTTTCTGTGTTGATCCATGACGCTCATCAAGATCTGCCCGATAATTTGGCAACGGAACTTTGCTGACAACAAGTGTCTTCCCTTCGTTATATGCATGGCTTTCTTTCCACAAATATGAAATCAGTAAAACAAATTGTCAGGTGGAGCTGAGCCACGGCAACTCTAAGCAGATAACATGATATTAAAAATATGCATACACCTCAAGCACTTCGTACATTTTTTCCTATTTCTTGATTGGAAACTAGGAAATGCAAACCTTTTCAAAAGAAGACAAGACTAAGCAAACTGAAAAATAAAAGAACCACCCGGGTATAAACATCAAACAACCCAAAAAAGAAGGAAGCAAAACAACATAAATATACAAAGTAAGAATACCTATAGAAGGAAGACATCCACTAAGACTCAAGTATACCAACTCCATTTGTCTCAAAAATGAATCAGCTAAGGAACTAGCAAACCTATCCGGTATCTGCATAGTTGTCAATGTGTCACCTAGGTGACAAGGTACCCAACCTGCCTAAATGCCATGGCTTACATAAAAAAAGGCACCCATCTAGATACTAGTCGCCCGACTAGGCAATAAGATGCCCACTTAAGCAACAAAAATCACAATTCTAGTATGGCTCACTATTATTACATGTATTGCATCCTATCATATATAATATATATCACTCATGTTTATTTTAAGGGTCTTACCATTAAAACATAAAAGATTCAAGGGTTTTAAGAAAGAAGAAAGAAAGAAAGGACAAAGTTTTCTTCTTTTTAAACAAATAAATAGAAAAAGGGCTCTGCCCCTTGTTTTTCCCTTTTCATTACTCTCTTTCTTGAAATTACTTTATTATACCTCCTCTCCCATGTTTATACCCACAATACAATGATTGCTTACGTCTATCTTTAAGTTGGAAATACTCTCAAAGCATTTCATTAGAAGATTTAGGTTCCTTACCCCCTCCTAACCCTTATCCTCACAAAAAAGGATTATATCACCCACAAATTACAGGTGGGTAATGACTGTCATTCCTACCAATCCTCCATTTTTCTATTATACCTAGATTACCAGGCCTCAAAATCAACCTACTAAACACATCCACAATAAGTGTAAGAAGGAATGAAGATAATGGAACTCCTTGTCTCAATAATCCCCTCTCAGAAGGGGGAAAAAAAAAAAACTCCTTTACTACCCCATTTACCAACACTAGTTGTGGATACAAGCTGAGTTGTGCAGAATATTAGACTATTCAAGATTGGCTTGATAGAAAAGCATAAGATTCAAGTTTAAGCTCCAACTCGATTTGAGCTAGAAATACTAGCTTGACTTTGGTTCAACTCAAAAGCTCATATAGTTCGAGCTTGGCTCAACTCAAAAGCTCATATAGTTTGAGGTCAGCTCAACTCCAGATCAATAGTGAGCCAAGCTTCATATAAAAAATTAAAAATTATACATATCATCATCATCATCCATGCCTTCTCCCAACCATATGGGGTCAGCAACACGAATCCTATTTCGCCAACCTGTCCTACTTAAAGTCATATCCACTATTAAACCATTAGTGCTTAAATCATTTCTTACTAATTCTACCGATGTCCTTTTTGGTATCCCTAACTCTTCAGCCTCTTCTAGCCCCTTCCCCTTGTAACAAATCAATTATTCTATCTAGAGTTGTTGGTGATCTTCTATGCATGTAACCAAACCACCTTGGTCTACTCTCTCATTTTTATCACCTTTTGGAGCTACTCCTAGGCTCCTACAGATGATAGGGGTGAGCAAAAAAAACCGAATCGGTCGGTTCGATGTTTTCAAAAAACTGAAAGTTTCGGTTCATTTCGGCTAACCATTTAAAAAACTGGCGGTTAACCGAACCAACCAATATATATTTTTATATAATATTATATATATATATATATTATTTTATTTCTTTAAAAAGTCAAATAAAAACGTTCGACAGTCTGAGAGTGTTTAGACTGCCAAACTGAGAGTTGAGACAGGTTCACCAATCTGGCAGCCAGCAGTCTAAGTCGTCTGACAAACTGACACCCGCTAGCCGCTGCGCGGRCCTATCTTTTTCTTTCCCTCTCTCTCTCGGACCCTCACTCTCTCATACTCCCTCTCTCTGAACTCTCTCTCTCTCTCGCCTCTCAGTCTCTCTCTAAACTCTCTCTCTCTCGCCTCTTAATCTCTCTCTGAGCTCTCTCTCTCTCTCATGCCTCTCGAACTCTCTCTCTGGTTCTGGCCTTTGGCGCTCCACCCTCCGACCGATTCACCGACGGCCTCTGACACCGGCGATCTACGACACTGGAGGCTTAGCCTACGGGTTAGAGACTAATGCATCTCGGCAACACTGGCGATCCCAGTTACCGTGTTTTTACTTTTTTTTTATTTTAAGGGCATAAAAAACCGAAAAACTGAACCACGGTTAACCAGTAGACCGGTTAACCTGTTGTATCGGTTCGATTGAATGTAAAAACCGAACCTATCGGGTCAGTCCAGAAAATTACCCCACGATTCGGTTGGGCACCCCTAACAGATGACTTCAATTGTTCCACTCATCCAATTTAGCATCCGCATTTCCGCCACATTCATTTTTTGAACATGTTTCTTGACTGCCTAACACTCTGCTCCATACAACATAGCTGGCCTTCAACTGTTTTATAGAATTTTCCTTTTAATCTAAGTGGTATTTGCCTATCACATAAAAGTCTAGATGCACCCCCTCCATTTTGCCCGACCTGCTCTAATTCTTTGGTGGTGTCCTCAATTTCTCCCTTGTTATGAATTATGAACCAAGGTACCGAAAATGGTCACATTGAGTTATTTTTTGGTCTCCAATCCTAAGGGTATCCTGATTTACACTGTATTATTACTAAAAAAATCGTATTATACATATAAAAAATAAAGATATTATAAATATAAGCTCAATCAGGCCTACAAGCTTCACGAGTCGAGCTTCATGCTATTTAATCTCAACTGGATTAGATACCAAGCCTATATGTTGGGCTATAGTTCAGTTCGAAGCTCGATTTGGACCAAACCGAATCGAGCTTTTTGAAAGCCAAGCTCAAATGGCCCGTGAATAGCTTGATTTGTGTCCACCCCTAACCAACACCAAGTAGTTGCAAATTTTTAGACAGCCCATGATCCACATTATCCATTTAGCACTAAAGCCACATTATGATAATACTCTTCCCAAAAAGGACTGAACCATATCATAGCCGCCCTCCAAATCTAACTTTCACCCAAAGTCTCTGGAATGGTTTGCCTCAAGTTTCTTAGGAATCAATGTTGAACATAGCATTTGCACCTGGACTTATAGTTCTCCTTTCATGAAATTCTCTGAATACATCCAATAGAATTCCTTTCAATATCTCCTAATAGTGCTAAATAAGGCTATAAAGAAGCAATGTAGCCCTAGTGCATTTGATATATACATCTATACATGGAAAATACTGCCATTTTAATTACCTCAAGGTCAATGAATCTCCCAAATACCGCCACTTGTTCCCCCAAGGCTTGGCTAATCCAGTCCCTCCACCATCAGCCCACCACTTTAGGAACTGATGGCAATGGATGGGTATCAAGTGATCTACAAAACTACTAGACAATTTATCAGGTTGTGAGATCTCATTAATTACTAATCAGGACACAAGTTTTGTTTTTCCTTCCATTCATAGTTGAGTTCAATAAAAAATAAAAAAATAAAACTTTTAAATAAGGAAAAGCATAAAAGGGCTTCCTTTTGAATTAGTTCCTTAATTTTTTTACAAAATCTCCTTCCTTTTCTTTACCCTTCTAAAGATCTTTGTTGTAGTTTTTAATTTTCTCTTTGAGGTGCTGCAGCTTCCTACAAAATATAACCTTCCCATCTAGAAATGACATCCTCTTCCAACCAAGACGTAGCATTCTTGATGAAAGACAGATGAGCCAACCACAAGCTTTCAAATCTGAATGGAGTGAGTCAACTAAATAAGCATTCCTAAGCAAGAGCTATAGGGCAATGGTCAGAAATAGGTCGGGGTAGAGCTCTACAAGATAAACCTTCCCAATCTACTGAAGACGCTAATTTATCTGGTTACAGGAAGTAGGGTTCACCTACAAGTTAAAGCCCCCTCCTAAACACTTTGGCCCTCCCATAACCCTCTAATGGAAAGCAACTCCTCCTAAAACTCCCTCCTTTCCCTATACAAGTTTGGACCCTACATGTTCATCATAAACTACTCCAATCAATCATTTGCATTATTTAATTTTGTCAAAATGATAGATCTCCGGTCTCCCTACTAATTACTTACAAACTCATAAATAGGTGAATCACATGTCAATATTATTTCCTCAAAAACACTCCCCAAGAAGGTGCCAAGTTGACTATGGTGAAGGCACTTCTTTTACAGCAGAATTTGGAGTTCTTCAAGGTCCAAAACTGGCCTTCTCTTCGGGCTGGAATGGGCTGCTTAGGGAAGAAGACTGCGAAGTGGTAGTCGGCTGGACTCATACAACAGAAAAAGGCCTCTGGTCCATTGGAACATAGATGAAATGGAGGGAAAAACGCAACAAACACTAAAGTGTTGATGTCAAGGTTGAACATTTCATTCAGGTCAGGTGAACTCCTAGATCAACAAAGTGCCTATATAATGCCTTGGCAAGGGAAGGAATAGATACATATGATTTGGTTTTGGGGGCTCTAGGCCCACATTTAACAATGTAAGACTTTTATAACATATTTCGTATTTGATAGGTCAGCCTCTAGCAGTTGTAACTTTCTCCTAGAAGCAGGCTGATCAAAAATTTTTAAAAATAATAATAATAAACACCCTAATATCGAAGCTTAAAATATGGCTTATCACCATGCAATTGAGTTAACCAAACCCATTGAATACCAAGAAAAGGAATATTAACCCTTTTAAATATAGTTATATGTGCATACAACGAGATGTGAATGTTAATATGACCACCAAATAGGTAATGTCTGTACTTGTCACAGCATTCACTTCTTTTTAAGACCAAAATTGAGATCACATCACGAAATGCTTTTATTTTCTAAGTGCCAAAACTCCGGAAGCTCAAAAAAATAAATAGGAAAGAAACACACTTACAAGTAAAGACCCAATTGAGAAGCCATATCAGCCAGAGTTTGTTGCCCCTCACGACTGTAGTTCCTCTTAATAATCATCTCCTGCTCACCCCCTTTTTTCATCTGTTCCATCTTGTTCCACCATTCATCCTCATCAACGACTTCAAGCTATGTCAACCAGAACATCAAAGGAAAAGAAAGGAAAGGAAAAATGTCAAACAACATATCACAGCATGACCAAAAGGCAGTCACTGGTTATAAACTGAACCAATATTTCCAAAACACGATTACCAGAAAGAATAAACGTTTTAAAACCAGAGCTACAAGAATTACACATCTATTAGAACCCTAGTTAAAATAATACCTCGGCTGCCTTCTGTCTCAGACGCTCTGCTCGCCAGGCGGGATCCCACCAGCGCTGCTCACCACGGCCGCCACCCCGGCCACCCCGGCCGCCGGCTCCACCCCCTCGGCCTCCTCCTCGTCCTGCTCCTCCGCCTCGGCGACCACCTTGGTAGTTAGGACGGTAAGACATGGTGGCGCTCGTCCTCTGCAACCCAATCCCAAGCCCCTGCTGACCCGCCGAAAGAAATTTGTAAAACAAGCAGGAGCTGCCGGCCAAGCAACGCAGGGACATTAAAATACACCAGCAGGTACTATGCACTTGCAACACTTTGTATCTTTCCCCGGTCTTTTCGGTTAAAGAAGCACTTGCATGGTAAGGCCTTAATCTGGACCGTCCGATCAGTATAACCTAATTCGGAGAGGCATTATAGCTAAAAACTCTTTATTTTTAACTTTTTTCTGTTTTATTATGGGTTAATTACAACCCCCCCCCCCCCGGGGATCAATGACAACAAAGACCCGCTCTGATGGCGCTCCGTTACTTCACAAAAATTCTCACTTGCTTGTTTACAGTTTTTTTAAATCTTAAAAATGTAGAAATGTCCTTTTATACTTTGATTTTGATAACCCAATAAATCTTAAGGCTGCGTTTGTTTTTGATAAAAATGAGAATCAGGGTGAATATTACACCGATTTTGCTCACATTTGTTTTCAATGTAAATTCCACCCATTTTACATCGAAAATGGATGTAAATTCACGAGACAACATCAATTATATTAATGTAATCTTTTACACTCACTGACGTACCTTTTTCACTTTACAATGATTCGCTACCTTGTTTACACTTCACTGCAGAATTCTGAATTACAGCCCCCTCCTATAGATCGCATCCTGCCCGTAGATTTAGCATCAGTCCACGGTCAGGATTCATCCCCTGTATGGTGGAGTTAAAGAACTCTGAGTTTGGCTAATCAGTCATTCTCTCTAAAAATTTTACACCAAAAACAGCCACATACTAAAAATATTGATTATTGTATGCTTAAAATAGTTTGGCATACGTGTACATAGATTCTTCTCCGACAATGGCATAAAAAGATGCAAATGATATTTTTTGGTATCAATTATCCCCAAATATTCTACAGTATTTTGCAACAACGTTATAGTGAAGACAATGAAATAGTAACAACAACTTTTAGCAAAGAGTGATATAAGGTTTTCATCAAAAACGGTTTTACTATAATATGTTTGTGTAGGTTAGGGTTTAGGAGCAAACAACTTCTACCAAACATAAAAGGGGGAATGGCTTTGCCCATTTTCTTCATTTTGAAATTTTCATTTCACGCCTCTACAATTAAAAGAGGGTATTTTGATAATTTAACATCTTCCATTAGCAAATTTAACGGTCAAGGATCTTTGCCAGAAAGTAAAAGTTCAAGGGGTGTTTGTCACAAATGAATGTATAGTATGTGTCATTGACCCCATAGTAAAATGGGTCTTTGTAATTTAACCTTTTTTTTTATTTACTCGTTGGAGTATTGTCAAACCTAGACTAGACCAAATGGTCAAACCATCAAAGCCTAGAGCTAGCAACCATAACGGTTTTTTCATAGCTATGTGTCATTCTTAAAATGTTGACTTTGTCAAATTATCTCAAATATATGCATTAACATATTCTTACCAAAAAGTATTTATTATTTTAGGTTATCATGAAATAAAAGATTTTAAAACATAATATACACTTATTTATTATATTATTTTTCTTTTGCATGAACAATTGGAATATATTTAGTGGTTAACCCAATGTTCAAAATTTTGCAACGTATAAGATCATATCAGTTGATAAGTATCGTATTTTTTAGGGGTTGGCATAGGAAACGCTACAATATCCTTTGTAGACCCCGCATTGTAGCTGTATTTGGGTGTATTGTGATTATATCATAGCCATATCAAGGTGTTTCAACAAATACAGTACAACTTTCCTATATGCAAAAAATAAATTAAAAACCTTTGAAAAAGATGCTTTATAAGTATCTTCAAAAGTCTCATTTCTCTTCCAAACTCACTAGTGAGGCTGTTTGGCAAGTCTTTTTGGGAAGATCTTATACTAGCTCTTACAATCAAAAGACACATTGAGATTTTTAAGGGGTTGGCACAGGAAGCGCTACAATATCCTTTATATCGTGTTTTCTCATCGTGTAGACCCTGCATTGTAGTTGTATTTGGGTGTATTGTGATCATATCATAGCCATATCAAGGTGTATCGGAAAATACAGTACAACCTTCCTATATGCAAAAAATAAATTAAAAACCTTTGAAAAATATGCTTGATAAGTATCTTCAAAAGTCTCATTTCTCTTACAAACTCACTAGTGAGGCTGCTTGGCAAGTCTTTTTGGGAAGATCTTATAGTAGCTCTGACAGTCAAAAGATGCATTGAACTTTTGCATCAAGACTTGAGTAGCTTGAAGTCCATTTGATTAAGGCGTGTCTTTTTCGGCGAAGACAAATAGAAAAAAAATGCAAACGCTCAATTTGGAGCTTCTCAAAAATCGCCCATTTTGGGCTTATCACGTTTTTTCGGTGTTTCAACTTTTGGCGGCTAGATCTACTACGAACCAAATGGGAAAAAGACCAAATTGCGGTCTTCCAATCTTGTAAATAGCCGACAAACCACATGGAAATACGTGCCAAACAAGGCCTTATCCCCTGCACATTATTGGGTTGTAAGATCGTTAAAAAAACCAAAAACAATCTCCATAACTCACATTTTTGAAGTTTTTCTTTTTTTTTCAAAAATGATGAAAATAGGTATTTTTCAATTTATTTGATAATATGTTGCAATATTTTGATGCTTATAAAAGCTCCTATATACGTTGATATATTCTCCTTGTGTTGAAAATCCTATATTTTTCTGTGATTGAAGAAAATTAAAAAATATATATATAAAATAACAAAAGAAATGAAAGTTTTATATTTTTTTGTCTAATCTTCCCATGAAGAATAATTATGTCATAGATATATGGATAATCTACCATATTCATAGATCTATTGATATATCTTGTAAAATATTCACTTTATATTTTTTGTGTAATTTTATGAATAATTTTTTATTCATTTTTATTATGATATAACATAAAATTTTATTATGTTGTAGATCTATCAATGATCTACCATGTTTTTTCTTTTGTAATTTTAAGAATAAAAATTGTTTATTTTTTCTAATTTTTTGTGTGCTTAACCATAAATATTTACTATGTTTCAGATAAATGGATAACTTACCATATTCATTGGTCTATTGAAATTTCTTATGAAATGTTTTTTTTTTTTTTTACTATTTGTAATTTTTAGATGAAAGATATTTATTTTTGTATATATTTTTTATAAATCTATGGATGATCTATTGTATCCATAAAGTTATTTTTTGTTACATTTTTATTTTTTTAACTTTTGTTATATTTTTTGGAATAAAAAACAAATTATTTGTTTTAATACGAAATACATATTTTTTAAACAAATTACAGAAAATGTCTCATTGAATAATTATTATGCTTATATTTTGTAGTTATAATCTTATTAGAGAATATGTTGATTATCATATATTTTTTCATAAAGATCACTAAAGTATGTGACCTTTATGTATATATAGTTCATTTAGGCCCTATATTAAATATTATTGATGTATTTTTATAATATATTAGAGTATCTATAGTGTTTCAATGCATTTCCATGTGTAGCTTGATTTTTCCTTTGTATCCAATCATATCCAAGGTGTATTGAACATTCCATTCACCCATATTGGCCCAATTTGTGGTGACCAAATTGGTTTGGTGTCCAATTTTCTTTGAAGTGAGCAACAACATAAATTTCATTCATCTTAGTTCAACGAATTGGCATATACAAAGCTAGAAAGGATATCTAAATTAGGGTATAAAGAGCAAGAGGCCAGAAAAGTAATAGAGAGAGTGAGAGAGAGATTGTGGGAGAATATGAGAGTGTATGAGAGATTACATGAGTATATGAAAGTATGAGAAAGTAAGGGTAAGGGTATTTATAGGAATTATAAATAATTTAATTGACTAGAATACCCTTTTAAAACTAGTATTTTACAAGGAATTTATTAGTTGTCACTTTTCTAAAATTAAGATGCCCCCAAGCTAATTGTTATATAGCTGTTAGGGACATTTAAGTCATTTTCCTTGCCCAAATAGCTATATTATTCAAAAAGGATAGTTTTATGTTGTTTTGTGCTAGGCTAGCATGAAAACCATGTCGTATTGACACGACCCACTTTGCATGCCTTGTCATGCCGGTCTGTGGGCCTCAAAACATAACCCCGACACATGGGGATTTGGGTCAGCCCTAGAATGGCCCATGTTGTGCTAGGCCATGCCGACCCGTGGGTAACCCAACCTACTTTAGAGTTATAATTTTAAGATGAGAAATGGGCAAATTTGGTTGAATGACATTGTGAAATGAAGAAGATACGAGGAAATTTGTCTAGAACGACAATGTATAATACATCAAGTAATGCACATAAACATTCCATTTTCTTAATTTCTTATGGAAATGCTAATGGTCGCATCCTAACACTTGTTGATCTATAGAAAAAAAAATATGCTCTCCCCCATACTCATTTAAAGCATTTGACTATGGTTGTGTTTGGTGTCATTGCCATTTCTACTTGCAATCTTTTAGGTTGTCAACACAAATTTTAGGAGAATATATATATTTTTACCACAAATACTTTGAGTTATCAATACAACATTTGCTACCATTATTCTTTCTTCAAGAAATTTTGGTGTTTTTACTATATATATATATATATATATATATATATATATTTGGTGTGATGTGACAAGACAATTTCTCAAAAATCTGTATTGATCAGCCTAAAATGTTGCAATTAGAAGTGGTAATGGTACCAAACACAACCTATATTGGTCACTCCCCATACTACTCACTTACTAATAAGCTAAAGTAGTTACACTCCCTCTCAAGTTAGTCTTTTATCCGTAAGTTCTACACTTCCATTTAGCTTCCAACACTCCCATTGAATGCATCTGTTGCATCTTGGATGATTAGCTATATCTCTTAGCAATGTTTTTAACCCACTGTTGACCCGGTCGGTTGAATCATTTAAACCATCACTTGACTAGGAATTTGGGTCTAGTTCTATTAAAACCCGTTAGTTAGTCTAAAACTGTTGACTTGGTAAAAAATTGTCCGACCTAGGTGGTTCAATCATTGACCCATTCGACCTAGTAACCGGGTCACAGGTTGCATACTCAATGCATGCAAATTT